CTCGGCTCACAGTAATAGTGCCTTTCTTTCTATGGATCTTAAGGATTATAATTGCTTATATTTATACCTTGGCGTAACATACAGGTCAAAACGAATCGTATGTAATTTCTTTTAACAAATTATGTCAGAATGTTTTTTTGATATTGTAGACAGCGGGCAGCATGTTCCAAGCCGCCCGCGATGACGCTGAACAGCAGATCTGCGACAATCTCGAGAAGAAGGTCGATGAGTTCTTGGATTTGGAAAATTACGACTGGTTACTAGGTAAATAATACAATATTATATTGTAGAGATCCTAGACTGGTGGTCAAGGTCTAACCATTTTATTCACCAGTTATATATTGAACTGTAACTGTATGTCTTTGGTACAAGTCAAAATGTAATGGACCCTAATATTTTCATGTAGCCGTTTTTACATTGCTAATTTTATAGCATATTTTGTTTACAATAGTTTAGTTTTCAAATTCTTTTATTTTTTTTATTTTTAGTAAAAAACTTACATTCGCGTTTCCTTAAAAAAATACAAATATTCTTTCCAATAATGTGAAAATGTGACAATGATGTGATGAAATTATTTTCACAAATATTACAATAAATAATATTTTATCCAGCGACTACGATATGGGGTTTTTCCAGAAGGGTACAATTTATTTGACGGGCCTGTTGGTTAGTGACCCTGACTGCTAAGCCGGATGTCGTGGTTTCGATTCCCACCCAGGACAAATAATTGTGTGATAAGTACGATGATTTGTTCTTAGTCTGGGTGTAATTTACCTATGATATGTATGTATTTAGAAATATATAAGTATATTTATCAGCAGTCTGGTTACCATAGTACAGGCTCTGTCTATTTGGAATCAGACGACCAGTTATCATTATTATTTAGAGTTTATCGACTACAAAGAAAACTTTCAGCTATTTATTGTACTTATTGTGGCGACTACCTCATACAAAGAAACAGAAACATACTACAGCGCCATCTAACGAAGACACACCGAACTACGGAGTAACTCCTGAATGAGAATTGCTAATCCTGTATCGCGATATGAAGAATTCTCTCACCGATTAGCATAGTCTTGGAGATGAGTGATGTGGCGACTTCCACATACACTTTTTATTACAGATACTTCAGGATGGATAATCGCTCGTGCCTGATACAGCACGTGTAATCGTATCATCATCACATCATCAATAGCCTTTAATAGTCCACTGCTGGACATAAGCCTCTCCTTAGAAAGGAGGTTTTGATTTTGGTGTAATCGTATACGTGATTTGTTTCAGTGGAGCCGACGGGTCAGGCATCGGCGTTCGTGACGGACATGCTCAGCTACCTGTCGGGTGTGCTCACCTCCTTGGAGCAGCTACCTGAACGAGCTCGGTAAGGAAAACAGACGGTATTTTTTTGTGTATGTTACTAATTCTTTTTCTAATTGACTTGAAGAAAGAATTCCATATTATATAGAAATTAAAAGAGAAAAGTAGAGCTTATTAAAATTAATCATGATTTGATGCATTAACGTTGGTGATATTTTTTTAAAGTTAATTATTTGTTATTCAGTTTTCATCATTATCTAGTATTTAGTAATGAATACTCATAAACTTTACTGATTAAACTTGAATGCTTTTATTTTAATATATGAGGCATATAACGATTGTACTTTGGTACTGTGAAGTAATAATTAGATTATAAAATTAGCCAACGTCTAAAATTAATTAAATAAAAACAAAATATTCTATAAAACTATTGAAAATATAACGTCACGGAGTATTTAGTTCTTAAAATCACAACTCCCGCACTAGGAATATATCCTATGACGCGGGGGACTTTACAAACAAACATGAAACGGACACAAAGAACACCCAGACTCAGAAGACAATTTGTTGATCATACAAAGTATCGTCCCATGTGGGGTTAGTAGGAAGCGGTGTGGCGACCGCTTAAACCACTACGACATCCGTGCAGTAATTTTAACCTCGTACAATAGATTAATAAAAATATTTTCAATATCTTTGTACGTTAAAAAATTCGTACTTTTACACATATAATCTATACAAATAAAATTATTTGTTCCTGTCCCACTGACTGATTCATCAACGTAAAGCCACCTTTTTTTTTTTCTTTTTTTAAACGTAAAGCCACCTGGGGCTACAAACTTGAAATTTGACGGCTGATGCTTTTGCCTCAAATCCTTTTTTTTTTTTTTACGTGTGGAAATCCGGGATCCGGGAACAGCTGTTGTTAAGACATCCGGACCCCTACTAGCGCCGGCCCGCTCCTGTTGCGGGCTCCGTCTCAAAATTTTCCTCTCTTTAGGCGACGTCCGGCACATGTTGCCTCAAACCCTATACCAACCCGTCTGGCCAGCGTGGTATAGTAGGCCAAAACCTTTCTAAGGAGAGGCCTATGTCCAGCACTGGACTATTAAAGGCTTTTGATGTGATGCTTTTTATGTTGTAAGCACACAGCAACATCTAAGGGGAGGAAATAAAGAGATGAGAACGGTTGTATGAAAATTCTCGCGGGTAATAGCTTATATAAGATGCCATAAAATATTGTGTTATTTATTTAGTTATTTGATTTACCAACATTTGAATTCAATTTGACAACACATATATAATAATAATAATTCTACCACATTCACACAATGCCATCTAGTCCCAAACTAAGCAGAGCTTTACTATGAAAGCTAGATTGACTGATGGAATAGTCATATACTATTTTTTTGTAAATAAATACATATTATAAATAGAAACACTCAGACATTATAAGTTCATGCACAAAAATGTTTGACATGAGCCGGAATCGAACCCGCGACCTTTAGAATAGCAGTCCGTTACACAAACCACTACGCCATCCGGTCGTCGAACATACAACACAGAATATATACCAGTGATCCAAATAATTACAGGTAAATACAGCGTACACAAAATATAACACAGCTTAAAGACAAAAAAAATTAAAAGAAAACACTTAATAACACATTATTTATTGTTATATTACTTAACAAACCATTACACTATTACCTAGAATCAACTACATATATTAAGAAGAAAGGAATCACTATTGAAAATGATTGTGATCCATGAGTTGACCTCCGCCAGCGTGGCAGCGGTCCGCGCGGCCACCAACCGCATCGCCCGGCGCCTGCGCGCGCTGCTGCTGGACCCGGCCGTCAAGCAGGTGTCGTCCGGCGCGCTCGACCAGCTCAACCTCGACGTCATACAGTGCGAGCAGTTCGCGGCCGGCGAGCCTGTGCCGGGGCTCAAGGAAGGAGAGTTGCTCGAACATTTCGCTAGTCTCAGGTAAACATTACTTTATTACTAACCTGACCGTCTGTCCGTCTGTCCGTATGTCACTACCGATTTTCTCAGGAACGGGTAGACCTAGCAATTTGAAATTTATACCAGAGACTGAGGTCTATGGTCCCTATTACGTGTATAAAAATCAAGGTCCTGAGTCAACACGATAAAAAGATAAGATCAAATTTCGATTTTCGCGAAAACTAGTACCAAAATTTACCTTAATTTTCCTAAATTTAAAAAAAATATTAGTAAATTTCCTTATTTAAAAAAAAAAGATTTTTTGTTTATAAGAAATTAGATTATGTGCTATTTCCGACTATAAAATAGCTCTGTGCCAAATTTCACCCACAAGAAAGTGACGGCATGATTGATTAACAAACAAACACACATACATTGTCACAAACTTTCACTTTCAAAATGTTAATATTTTAATAGCATTTTTAGTGTACGCAAGTTTGAGACGAAACTACAAATTATTTATTGATTTGTTTTATTTAAATAAAATGTTCTACACGTCAATAATAAACAATTAATGCAAATGATTTGAACTTTCTTCCACAGACAACTTTTGGACCTCATCACGGGTTGGGACTGGTCATCCTACCTTCACGACGTAGGTATCGACGGCGGGAAATACGCTCTGGTCACGCCACGGGACGCGGCCACGCTGCTCGAGAAACTGAAGGAGGCAGAGCAGAAGTCCTCGGTCTTCTCCGTATTGAAAAAGAACGAGAGAGACAGAAGGAAGCTTCTAGATACTGTCTTGAAGCAACTGAAGCAGTTGCAGAACCAAGATGGATCGTGAATATATGCCGAACTGTACCTATACAAATATATTATAATTGAATATGCTAATCTTACTTAATATGAGACACCTATTGGTTTTACCATTTGCTTATGTGTCACGGCGGTGTTCACTCCCCGATCTAATGCTATGAGAGGGACGGGAGTTCTTAGCCCGCACTCGGAAGTTGCCTCATAGTCGAGATACTATAATATAATCTATTCAATTGGTCAGTAATTTAAGTAAGATTCAATATGGTGCTATAAGCTATTTTGTTGCCTAAAAAAGGAGACAGAAAGCTAGTTTTAGCCCCTTATGTCAAAAGTAACATTGAAAAGTACCATTGATGGTAATGGTGATACCACTTTGTATGACTAGTAGACATAATAGGTCTTTGCCTATGAAATTGCCGTTTTGTATGCAATAAGTAAAAGTACTTATTTTTTCAAACTTTTTTATTTCTGTTATTCGAAGTAATCACCCATGCAATCGACGCATCTTTGCCAACGCATTGGCAGTTTATTGATGCCCTTGTAAAAATCAGCTGGACGGGAGGCAACAAACTCTTCAATGGCATTTTGTACTGCATCTCGGGAATTGAATTTTTTACCCACTAAAAAGTTGTCTAAATTTTGGAAAAAGTAATGGTCGGTAGGTAGAAAAAATAAGTACTCTCACTTATTGCATACAAAACGGTAATTTCATAGGTAAAGACCTAATATACATACACTATATAATAATACCGACCGGCCCGAGAAGGTTTCCACACTTAAAAGGGTCGGATTTCAAACTAAGTTCGTTTGAAATTCGACGCTGTGGCAGCACTGTACGCAAGGCTGTTTCCTTAGAGAATAGCACTACAGGTGACCCGTCTGCTCGTCTACTTCCATAAAAAAAATACCATCAATGAAAGTACTGATACTAGTGGTTTAATAAATGTTGTATCACTAGTACCACCATAGTACTATTAACACAAATTGGTGTCAATGGTAGTACTGACGCAAGGGGAGTTTGTGTTTTATATAGGACAAAAAGGGAAGCCTATCGGAATAGAGTTTACTAACACTTTCTATTTTTACTACTACGTTCAATTTCTTTATGCCAAACGAGTAGACAGGTCACCCGATGGTAAGTGACAACCGACGCCCATGGACATCTACAACTCATGAGTCACAAGTGCTCTGGGCCTCAATTCTGTTATTTTATGTTAACGCCAAGCCACTGCCTTGACACGCTATTAAGATGCCATTAAGACGCCATTGCATCGGTCAAATTATCAGTATTCTACTAATATAAATTCACGGTGTCAATAGACTGTCGATATAGTAATATAAATCATCAATGGTGATATCAACAACATTGCCATATCTGGAAAATTAAATACAAAATTTTCTTACAAATTTAAATTTGTATTGTATGTATTCGACATTTTATAAGTGACAAGTCATCGGGAGGCCATTGGTATTAGTTAGTAGAATAGGAAAAGTGCAGTACTATTCCGACGACAATTCATCCACAGTTTATTGATACAATAATCAAATAGCAGAATTGAGGCCCTGGTAGCCTCACACACTCGGTGAAAAGCAACGGCTTCAAAAGTTCAGAATAAATGGGCCGGCTCGACCGGAGTGGTACCAAGGCCCCACAGAGAACAATTTCCATAGGCGGCGGTACTCATTTACCATCAGGTGATCCTCGTTCTACTTTGCACCCCTATACCATAAAAAGGTACTGTATTGATTATCCCACTTTTTGTTTTTATAAACGTAACCATAATATTGTAAGTATACACGAAATAATATACGAGTCATTTCCCTAGTACGCATGTACTGGCCTGGTTTTAGAACAATTCTAAGTTATATTCATCGTAATATTTAATCTGTTTGTACAATATGCCTTATAAGCGTAGTGATAGAAGCATTTATATAGAGCCTAGCCCTAATGTTTTTGTTACCTAATAAATTATTTATTGTAGATATGTTTTGTAATTTTTTAACCTATATTTTCAAAAATCTGTCCACGAGTATATCCAAATACAGCGTAAGTAAAAAAAATTAAGGGTATACTGACACGAAAATTTGCAACACCAATTTTTGATACTACACTGGCTGTGCCCTGCCACGCTTCGCTGTGACACATTGTGTTGCATTGATGAGAAGTGAAGAACAAAAGTGACGCGGAAAATAGATAGAAAACATATTTGAACAGTGTTGTATATCGGATTAAAATTTGACCTCATTCGGTGCGGAACTTTCTAAGTTTTTGAAGCGTAATCAAACCAACTTAAAATTTTTAAATATAGATTGGAGTCGCCAGAAGGAAAAAAGGCTCCAGTCTATATAGACATACCACGTGTCTTTTACGTAAAGGCAACGGCTGGCTGATTATAATCAGATTATCCTCATACTTATTTGCTAATTCAGTTTAATAATAGTAAATACTAAGTTCGTTTAAACTAATTTCAAGGAATAAGTACTCGATTTGCATGTGTTTTTTTTTTCTTTGTTACCTCAGAATTTCGACATTTATGATTTGAAAGGGTATTCTACCCGCTTGGTCTCATTCAAATTTAGAAAAAATATATAAAAGAAAAAATACCAGCATTGAATATAGAAAATTAAGGAATGAGGAATACAGTTTATTACAATATATTAAGAAAAGAAGGAAAACTTGAAACAAACCCTTTTTTTTTTTTTTTTTTTTAACGTGTGGAAATCCCCTCGGACCGTCACCCCTCCGGGGTTTGCGGCGGGGTGGTGTGTCGGACTCGGACCGACTAAAACCACACGGTGTGCCACTCTGCGCCTGTAACAGGAGGGATCCGGGAACAGCTGTTGTTAAGACATCCGGACCCCTCCTAGCGCCAGCCCGCTCCTGGTGCGGGCTCCGTCTCAATATTGTTGTTTTCCTCTCTTTAGGCGACGTCCGGCACACGCGGACGCCGCCCCCTCGCGGCTGGCCAAACTAATGCGGGTGGAGGGGAAACCCACCCCGTCCACCCGCGGCCACACTCAGGGCGGCATGAGGCTGTGGTAGGCGGGCCTCCGCCGCCCGGTTCGCCGGCGGCGGATCGGGTCCGAGTGGAGGTCGTCCTCCCGGGCCCTCTCCGCCGCCTCCTTCCGCGAGATTACTATCTCGCAGAAGGTTGCGACCGCGGTAAAACAACTGTCGCTACCGGCCATGGAGCGTACTACGGCCGGTAGCGAGAGATCCACTCCGATGACTGCAGTGAGGGCCCGGCGCTGCGCCGCCCATGCGGGGCAGACCGCCAGCGTGTGCTGGGCCGAGTCCTCACTGCAGTCGCAGTGGTGGCAGGCGGGACTCAGTTCCCTCCTAGCGACCGTGTGCAGGTACTTTCCGAAGCAACCGTGCCCGGAAAGCACCTGCGTCAGTCGGAAGGAAAGGGTCCCGTGCTGCCGCCCTGCCCACTCGGCGATGACCGGCTGGAGAGCCTCCACGGCGGCGAAGCCAGCGCGTGGAGTCTCCAGCCGGAACGACCAACGAGCCATCGTGGCTCGGCGAGCGGCTTCGCGCCACTCGCGCACATCCTCGGGCGGAGGGCGAAATCCGCTCTCCGCCCGGAAGTCAGCCACTCGCCGATAAACTTCGGCGAGCACTTCCGCCTCCAAATCCCACGGGGGAGTTCCGGCCAACGCGCACGCCACCTCCGTAGAAACGGTGCGGTAACCGCGTATGGCTCTGACCGCCATTACCCTCTGAGGGCGCCAGAGGCGTACCCTATTCTGGGCGGTCAGAGCCGCCGCCCACACCGGTGCACCGTACAGCGCCATTGACCGGACAACCCCCGTGTACAGCCGTCTTGTCGCGACGCTGGGTCCACCCATATTGGGCAAGAGTCGCCCTAGGGCAGACGCAGCGCCGACCAGCTTTGGAGCAAGCTGTCGGAAGTGCTCGTCGAAGAGCCACCTCCCGTCGAGGATCAGGCCCAGATATTTCATCTGGGCCCGAACCGGTACGAGGACCGATTTGACCACTATTGAGGCGCCAGGGGGTGGACCACGACGGGGCCCATGAAATAATAGGGCCTCCGTCTTATCTAGGGCCACCCGTAAGCCCAGCGCCTCAATGCGCCCGACCACCAGGGAGACTCCCCCTGTGGCCAGGCGCGCCGCCTCTTGGAAGTTTGCCCCCCGGGCTGTCACGAGGGTATCGTCTGCGTAACAGATTACACCCAGCCCGGGGGGGAAATCGGCGCGAAGGGCCCAGTCGTACCCTATGTTCCACAAGAGGGGTCCAAGAACAGACCCCTGTGGAACACCGCACGACATGGGCCGACTCCTCAAATTACCTTCTCGGTCCTCGTACACGACGGTACGCTCCTCTAAATAGTCTGCCACCAGCCGCCTCAGGTACTTTGGCACCCCATGATAGTGGAGTGCTTCCCTGATGCAGCTGAATGGCAGACTATTGAATGCGTTGGCGATGTCCAATGACACCGCCAACAGCACGCCGCCACAGCTCGCGGCCTCTTCGGTCACGGCCCTCAGGCGCAACACGGCGTCGACTGTCGAACGCCCCGCCCGAAAACCAAATTGGGCGTCCGACAGATCGGGGCCCACCTCGCAGAGGTGCCGGACGATGCGGGCAGAAAGAACCCTCTCAAACAATTTGCCCGCCTCGTCCAGCAGCACGATGGGCCTATAGGCCGCGACCGAATCGGCAGGCCGTCCCGGCTTCGTCAATAGGACCAGCTTCCCGCTCTTCCAGCACTCAGGGAAGCGTCCCGACGCCAAGCTAGCGTCGAACACCTCCCCGAGGCGGTCTGCCATGTGGTTGAGGGCCAGGGCCAGCACTCGGGCCGGTACCCCGTCTGGCCCAGGGGCGGTGTTCTTGGAACGGATCCGTAGAACAGCCGCCCCTACCTCCGATTCCCGGACGGGCGGAACATTGTCCTCCCCGTGCTCCCCGTCGTCTCCGGCCAGGGAGGCCATCGACGGGGGAGTGTGTTCCGCCCGTTGTGGGAAAAGGCCCTCAACCACTTCTCGCAGGAAGCTGGGCTG